TGAGATCTTTGGAGGAAGGGCGGTGTGCAAATTTAATAAATAAAACAAACACACCAAGTTAAAACTTAATACATTTCCCCAGACTTCTGGGAAGGCTAGAAAAGACTCCTGTCCCTCAAAGGAAAAAGACAAAAACTGCGATGCTTCGTTGCAAAGAAAGGGCCAGAATTTAATGTTTTAATGTTGTATTTTAATCTTGTTTTTAAGTTGTATTCATTCAGCTTGTTTTTATTATTACTTGTTAGCCGCCCTGAGCCTGGCCTTGGCTGGGGAGGGCGGGGTATAAATAAAATTTATTATTATTATTATTTTACCCACTTTGCATTTAGTGGGACTGTGCTTGGAAAAGGCACTGGCCAGGCTGCCTCCTTGCCCCGCACCCTCTTTTTTGTCTTATTTTTACTGCCCCACCCTGACCCACTCGCCCTCTGGAAATGGCAGGATCAGGGGTGCATTCCAAAGAGTGATCTGGGTTTGTTTCTCTTTGCCACACTTAAGTGCCATGCGCAAGTGTGTTTTCCTGTACTCCCTAATCCAGGATGAGTATACTTTATGTCTGTACTCACACCAGGAATGTGGATTAAATTTCCCCTCGTCACTCGCTGCAAGCGTGAATGGAGAGGGTGTGGAGATGAGTGGCTGAAAAATGCTTCACCGGTGATAAATCCACATTCTGCGATGTGGAAAGTGCAGCCCTGTGTGTGCCTACTTGGAAGTAAGCCCTACTGAACTCACTCCCACATAGGTCTGTCCAGGATTGCAGCCCGGGTCCTTGTCCTCGTGATGGGAGGGGTTGATGGTAGGACTCTTTCCCCCTTAATACATGTTTATTCCTAAAGTGGAGAATGTAATCTGCATTGTCCCAGAATACTTCAACCCTGTTCCCACTAATGGACTCATAGCTGTCCATTGAGGCGCAGGTCAATTCTGTGTCCAGGGCAGCTGTCTACCAGCTCCATCTGGTACGCAGGATGAGACCCTCCCTGCGCACAGACTGTCTGGCCAGAGTGGTGCATGCTCTGGTTATCTCCCGCTTGGACTACTGCATTGCACTCTATGTGGGGCTACCTTTGAAGGTGTCCTGGAAACTACAACTAATCCAGAGTGTGGCAGCTAGACTGGTGACTGGGAGCGGCCGCCAGGACCACATAACACCGGTCTTGAAAGACCTACGTTGACTCCCAGTACGTTTCTGAGCACAATTCAAAGTGTCGGTGCTGACTTTTAAAGCCCTAAATGGCCTCGGCCCAGTATATCTGAAGGAGCGTCTCCACCCCCATCTTTCCACCAGGACACTGAGGTCCAGCTCCGAGGGCCTTCTGGCAGTTCCCTCACTGCAAGAATCGAAGTTACAGGGAACCAGGCAGAAGGCCTTCTCGGAAGTGGTGCCCACCCTGTGGAACGCCCTCCCACCAGATGTCAAAGGAATAAACAAGTTTCGGACTTCTAGATGACATCTGAAGGCAGCCCTTTTAATATTTGATGAATCATTGTATTTTAATATTCTGCTGGAAGCCACCCAGAGTGGCTGGGGAAGCCCAGCCAGATGGGCGGGGTATAAATTTTTTATTATTATTATTATTATATTTATTATTATTATTATTATTATTATTATTTGGAAGCTAGTTCTCTTGCCATCAATGGGACTCCTTCATTTTAAGTACGATCTGGATCAACACTAATTGTGATTCTTGCCTGTGTGTCATTATGCACTTTAGCCACCCTGGAAAAAAATAACATAAAGAGCTGTGAGAGGATGGAATTTTTACTTGGTATCTCTTCCAAGGCACACCCTTGCCTAGTCATTCTAATCTGCTTCCGTTAATGGTAAATATGGAACCGGGCTGGCAGTTGTGTTTGGCTAATCTGGTGTAAAAGGTTGTGTATGCATACATCTTAAGTTCCCTTTTGGCTCCTTCTGTCCATCTAATTGTTCTCTTGGAGAAAGCTAAAGTAGAACAGTTGCACTTTTCCAAAATGCGATGCTTTCGCTTTGGGAAATCATTGAGGTAAAGGTGCCCACCCCACCCACGACTGCCTTCTCTCCCCTCTTCCCCAAAACCCACTCATGGAGTCCAGAAAGGGCTGAATCTGCTATCTGCCTCTAGTCTCTTGGGGAAGTTCACACCAGTATAAATATCCTCTTGTTCCTTTTCTGCCCACCCACCACTGCTGCTTATCT